AAGTACACTGCAATACTCTTGTATTCGCTGGGCGTTGCATCCGTCCCTACAAAAACGTTTGAAAATAGCTCTCATTTTGATGATGTTACGAAATGTCCGCAGTTAGGCAGATAATAAAGTAAATTTAAATAAGTAAATAAGGAAAACAAATCCAACTAACCAATTACGTCTGCGTATACTTCCATTTTCTTGTGTTTTTGCGCGAGGTCGTAGGCTGTGCTGTGGCATTTGGACAAAACTAGAAATTGGATAGCAGACCCAAAGTCCCCTATTTTCATGAAGTACTGCGCGACCATTTTGGCGCCTTCAGCCGTCTTTGATTCATTCACCACACGAACAGCATCTGCAGGATTGTTGAGCTTCTCCAGAAGCAGGCTAAAACACACGAGTTGTGAAAAATGGAACATGTCAGTTTGTCAGACAACAATAAACTGTGGTAGTAAGTTGAGTTAGCTACAAATCCCATGGCAGACAGAGTTGATTAGGGCTAGAGCCGACAGCGGCTGGAGCACAGATAGGCTACCAGCCTCCCCGGTCTGCGTTGTCAACATTTATCGATTATTGATTGCCTGTCACTCGGCCTCCAAGACGGTACAGATGCTGGGATGAATGTTCAAGGGTGAATCATTAATGTTGTTCAGATACTAAGTGAGCCTAGTGTGAACATGTAATACAGGTGGGAGAATTCACGTAAAGTAGTTTCATCTCCCCGATTCGAACACTGCCATCGGCGAGTTGTTGAAATTTAAAGGACATCAGGATACAGAGACTGCAATAATAGTAAACAACATACGCCAGTTAGGATGGTGAGTTGAAGATGGATTAGCTGGGTTGAAAAGGTGTGCGATTACGATTGGAGATAACATGTTCATACCAGAGAAAATACAGTTACGTAACAGTGTTGGCAACGTGTAGCACTCGTGTTTTAACAGAAGAACAGGAGATACTGAAATCAGTAATTACAAAGGATTTTCTAAAAAGACCGTTGAAGGGAACTTCTTTACCTCCTCATGAGTATGAAACCAGATGAATGTGCTAACATCTGGAAGAAAGGTTAGAATAAACCGAGGCTGAGAGGAGCATACAAATCTTGGCTATTGCCGCATCATCTATCTAAGTTTAGCAAGCAGATATGCTACTTCCAACTGTTCGGTTAGTTCCTTAACATTGTGGAACATTCGTTGGATGAATAAGAGGGGAGTAACCAGATGTATCCATGATTCATACGCCGTGCCTCCTTTCCGCACAGTATGCTGTCACACCATAGAAGTTGTAACCGCCTTCGATTATTGCTGCATTGCAGTACTACAAGGGAAATCGTCCGTGAAGGGAAGTTACTAGGCTCTCGGTCTGATATTACAAAAAAACTGAAAGAAAAGGGACTTTATTTCAGGTATGAAAACAGCGGCAAGCCCAAAGCTGTCTTTTGAGAAAACTGGAATGAAAAGAGGATATAATGGTGGACACACACCGCACAACAGAAGTCCAGTCCTTTGCCGACTCGTATGCGATGACTGCCTCCTTATAGGATCCGCTGACTTCTCTTGCCTTGGCATATTCCAAGTACATCTTAGGCGAGACTTTGGCGCTCTTTAGCAGGATGCCAGCCTTATCGTAGTTCTTGCATTTGAGGCAGGCTGCAACAGCGGCATCAATCTGCCCAGCGGCTTCATGCAGGACGGCGGCCTCTGTCCATTGCTGCAAGATGAAACCCAGGCAAAAGGAGTCAGATGAGAAAGCTAAAATTGGCAATCGATTTTTGATGTGTTTGCGGTGAATCCCTCCGCGCAGATGATCATCGCGCAAAGCCCCACCGCTGCCCATGCACATGTACCGGTCACCCAAGCCCGTCTGTCTAGAAAATCACCTTTCAAGGCCGACTCACACAAAGGCCACTGCAGACGCTGTGGCTATTCCCGTGGTCACCTCACTTCAGACGCAGCCCTGTGGCATGCGTTTACTCGCTCGTCTGACAGTCCCTTTTCTACTACCTATTCTGTATTCCTTATGTACAGAATAAACTGTTCCTTCCACGTTGGCCTCCCGTGACTTCTCTTCACCCAATGAACCGAGCCTGAACCGGGCTAGGGTTTAACTAACTTCACTCCCTACAATATGTTTGCTTATGCTAGAAGGCCATAACGATCTCAGTATGTCAGACACACTTCAACCCACATACCATTAAGCAATGACTTTTGGGACAGATTGAGGAACTTAACAACGGCCACACCGTTACGGGTTAACCTCCTCGTGGTGCTTTTCTCGTTTAGTTAAGTCAGGCATATACACGTCAAGATCAATACAAATCAGTTTTTCGAATACACCTTTAAATGGCGCCCAAATCCGTTAATAATACTGCTACAACAAAATAGCAAGACATAAGTGCAGCTATCATCTTCGTCGGGACTTTAGATTAGACTTAAGTATGACAACCCCTCCCCCTGAAATCAACAAAACCGCACCGGCTCCAAATTTTGGCGAACGATCGCGCACCTGAAAAACCTCTCGGAGGCCATCGGCCGCCTTCTCACATCCCTTGGAGCTGGAGTCGCACACAGGCCAGAAGCCACCATAAGGCGTCAGATAATGGAACACGAAAGACCCACTGCCACGGCAAGAAACATCTGGAGTCGTCTATAGGATCTGGTGCAGTTGCGGAGAAAGCAACTACGTCGGAGAAATTGGCAGAATTCTCAAGTCGCGGATTACCGAACACGCGGCAGCAGTGCGGCGAAATGATACCAATTCTCAAGTTGCGGCTCATTCGATGAGATCCGGCCACATTCAAATTTGGTGAGGCCGAAATTCTCGCTAGAGGTAAAATCGTGTGAGTCGCGAAGTACTTGAGTCATGGTTAACGGGCCCCAGTCCGTAAACAAGTGCAACGACCTGCCCAATCCATATCGGGTGCTGGGGCTCAATATGGCCAAAGCAAGTCGCCACTTGGGGAACGCACGGGCCACCGCATCGTCTTACGCTAACACCGGGGAACCAGATGGTCGAGCGATCACCAGATCAAGTCCCACCAGAACTGATGCAATTTGAGTAGGTCACGGCCCGCATGCAGCTCATCAGACAATCAAGGCACAAGAGGGCAATTATCGTTAATTGTCATTATTTGTCATAAGTGTGCAGTAATGACTCTATCCTACCAATAATACAACTTTCTGTACAAGTATTACCCGTTTCCGCTGATATCTCTGATGAAGAATCTGCGACGGATGTCGAAACGTCAGGCAAACAAAAGTGTTGTCTCAGTGATCGAATCTTCTCCTTCCCCATACGTTTTCGGTTAATCAGCTGGCGAACCATCGCAGAGCATGTTGTATGTATCGATTATTACGTTTTATCCGAGAGTCTCCCATCAAGCAAAGCAATTTTCCCAAGACAAACCCGCCTCGAGAAAACGAGGTCTCGCGTCAAATGTGTGAAGTTTTTTTCTCTTATTAGTACACCACAGGTATTTCGGTACCTGGTGCAAGCTACCGGTCCTACTATCCAAGTGAAATATAGGACTATTGTCGTTTTTTGCAGTTGTATTTCATGCATAAACCGAAAGTTGCCTCGAGTTAACTGCCACTTAGGTGGTTTTTTATCCTGTGCATACCATATTTCCCTAAGGCGAGTTAGAATATTTTCGTTGACCCTTGTAACCGCGGTAGTAAATTTTAGTTTACAAAGTTGTAACCGAGTAAACCTTCCCAGCAGCGAAAGTTTGGGTGATATTCTCAACCAACCCGGTCCTGCATAGCGAAGGTAAGGATAGGCTGCCAGCTCAGACCACTTTTATGTACATCTACTAATTTACTTGATCCTGTGGAGCAGATTATATCGGTCGCACGGCTCGGCGTTTATCCAAAAGAATACGGGGGCACCTACGGGCATGGCTGAGCAAAGGTGAAGTCAGGAACGTCAACAGCGCCATTCTTGGCCACATGGTTGACTTCGGACATCGCGTGGACCCCAACGAAGCCTTCAAGATGATTTACAAAGTTCCGGCGATCTTCCCAATGTCCCTAGGCCAGCGTTTGCTAGAGAGAATAGAAGTAACCGCTTTCCGGTTGAGGAAGCCGGTTTTGTGCACCCTCCCCCCTGTCCGCGTCAAAAAACCCACATTGCCGCGTAACCAGCGGCGTATTATCTATCCCCCAACCTATGCCCATGACTAATTTGTCTGTAATGAACGTAATTACCCGCATGCTTACCTTGTACCTTTACCCCCTTCCGACATAAATGTAATGGCCCGATGAGAATTTATCGAAAGCCTACGTATTCTCGTAAATTATTCTTCTGCATGAGTAAACAATTGCATTTTTGTAGGAAGTGAAAACATATACACGGAGTCGAAGACTTACTCGAGCTTGCTCTAAAATGGCAGCACACTCCTTCTTCAGGGCTCGGCTTGGATGCTTGGTGGCCATGGCAATACCCCTAGAATAACAAAACATGCTTATGACTTAGAAAATGTGGAGGTGTTTAAGAAGAGGGTAGTAAATCTCGCTGTGTCATCGATCAGTTGCAGGACTGACTCGTAGTATAGGCAATAGAACAATACCGACCAGGTCAGGGAGACCTGAATGACTATGGCTGGCTCATTTGGCATCATCAGCCAGCGGGTTAGAGCCTCAAGTGATGCAACACTCTGGGTTGGACATGGCTGGCTAATGACGGTTAAACAGTTAACAATGGCCCCTCTAGTCTCCCTACATTTTGTCGATAATATTCACCAACA